TGTGTATTATTATCATCATGCTTCATCATCATCATGAATCAACATCATCATCATTATGTATCATCATCATCATGTATCATCATCATCATGCTTCATCATGTATCATTATCATCATCATGTATCATCCTCACCATCGATCATCATCATAATGATTTCAGGTTCAATACTTGCACTGTGCATCACTTTATTTCATTTTATTAGCTCATCCCTCCCTTTATTTAATGGCTTCTTCCTCTCCTTACAGTGCTCAGGATATTTCAATCATGAGGTTGGTGGCAACCTCTGTCATGATCTCTGCGTCACCAAGAAACTAACCTTATCAAGTTGTATAACACACAAAAACTCCACCTTSGTATTCACTGGGAAATGGAAACACAAAAAGGTGGTTTTTAAGAGGAAAGCAAGAACTCGAAGCTATGATTATGAAGACTCGAGGCTTTCCTATATCTTAGCTAATTCAGATAAAGGTAAGGCTGCATTCATAATGTATGGCAGAGGGGGGGCAGGTGAAAATTTAAAATGCCCAGAATAATTCTCAACACCCCCCCTTAAAGTCATGCAAAAAAAATACGATCCCCCCTAAGCAAGGCTTGTAGCTTCTTCCAAAAATATTTCATTCCCCCCCTTTTTCCTACCAAAATTTTGACGATACCCCCCTCAATTTCGCCTGCCCCAACCCCTCTGCCATACATTATAAACACAGCCTAAATAACTTTATTATTTATTTTAATATTAGTGTTTTAGTGGGGAAAACACTACTCATATTTTCCATGCAAACTACATCCGGGACCTCAGTGACAATAATTATTTTTTTTAATAAACTCACTAGTGAAGATATCAAAACATATTACAATGGGATTGGGGTGTGGCTGGTTATTAACAAATTCTTCATATCTCCATCCAGCCCTCCTCCGGCAAGTTAGAAAATTTTTACATATATATATATACAYATACATAAATTAGTTTTCAAACAGCTATAAACTTTTTGTTTAGATTCTTCCAAGAAGCCATCATATTACCTAAAAGAGTATTTAAACTTTGTCTACGAACATATCCTCAATGAAGTCCACTTTAAAAAGCTACAAGAACAGAAAACCCCCAAGGATATTCTTACACTGTTGTACCATCCTCATCCTCTYACAAACTTTTCCTTTGCTGACATGYGAAGCCTCTGGCAGCTTCTCCAACAAGAGGAATTCATCAAATTACAACTCTTACAAGACATGAAGCATATRCCAAGAGTCTATGGGTTTTGTGGGGTCTTTTATGCTGTCGAAAGGGTCAAAAATCTGGAAAACTATTTAGATGTGTTTTTTAAGAAGCTGAAGCCATGGACTGAGAGGGTTCACATAGCACAGGAATTGCTTGACTTGGCTAGAGAGTTCAAGAAAACCTCACTTGGAAAACTCGATCATTGCGATGTTCAGCCTGGTAATTTTGGAGTCAATGAAGACGGGGTAGTTGTTGCACTGGATATTGACACAGTGTTCACAGCTCCGCAGATGAAAGAGTATATGGCTCAGGGCAACTGCTCTGGCAACAATGATTGTACGTTCTTTGACTGTATGTCGCTTTGCGATAAAAAATCAAACCTTTGCACCAGTACCGTACTATCAAATAACTTACACATCATCTGTCGAGATTTGCTTGTGTCCATTTGGGCGGAGCCAGGTATATTAAAGAGGTCGCCAATATATGCAGCTAATAAATTGGATCCTATCTTAAATGAGTGTTCTGCCGAACCCAGGTATCCATGGAAACTAGGGAAAAGGAATAGGATTTGGAAGAGACTGATGGACCTACTGAATGAAGATTTGCATAAATAAATTATATTTTTCTGGGGTTTTTATGGTTCAAACAGCTATTTTTGATATTGTTTTGATTTTTTTAGGCTATTTTTGTTAACAAAAAAAAATTATTTTTAAATTAATTTATATAAATGTTTTCAATAAATTAAGACACTTTGTCATATTTTTGTAGAGAAAATTTCTAAATTATGAATTTTGACATTTAATGTTATATCCTTTACAGTAAAAGACCTGGGAAACGAGATGCAATAAAATTATTTATAAATACAACTTTAATAATTAAAATGATTATTTTTGTACCAGGATTTTTGCTAAAGAATTATATTTGCCTCTGCACCCTCCATCCTACCAACCAACCCATGCACCCTGCATTATTACTACCAAACAACCCCTGCACCTCTACCCACCAACCAAACCATGTACCCTCCATCCCATCCATGCACCCTCCATCCCACCCAAGTGCAATCCATCCCACCCATGCACCATCCATCCCATCCATGCACCCTCCATCCCACCCAGGTGCCATCCATCCCACCCATGCACCCTCCATCCCACCCATGCGCCCTCCATCCCACCCATGCACCCTCCATCCCACCCATGCACCCTCCATCCCACCCATGCGCCCTCCATCCCACCCATGCGCCCTCCATCCCACCCATGCGCCCTCCATCCCACCCATGCACCCTCCATCCCACCCATGCACCCCCCACATGCATCTACCAAGCAACCCAAAAGCAATAGACAGAAACAAAAGTCACTTGATGTAATTCTTTTAGCCACAAGCACATGGCATCAAAGTTTATGGATGGAAATCAATGTTGCTCAACACGCAACCATTGTAAAGGCATAACAACTGTCGATTACTTGGCATACAATGCCAAATCCTAACGCTATACAACATCTCATATCAATAAGAATATGACTAACTTTTAAAAAATAACTAAAAATCTTATACTAAACTTTAAAATGAACATGTCATTTCTTAAGGTTAAGTGCTATAGCTGGTTAAAACTGGTTGTAGTTTAAGTGCAAGTATGCATGCATCAAGAGTTCGGCGTTACTGCTCTAAGCGCATTCTCAAGGGGTCAAAAAGTGGGACCATGGGTTGTAAAAATTCCTGTATTTGACTATAGAGTGCACGCACTAAAACCATGAACATTAAATAGTACTAATTAGTATTATTTCATACAGAATCCTTTGTTTTCTGTTGGTTAATTATCACTATTTAGAGCTAAAAATTAGTATTTGTTTCACAGATTTAGTGTGAGCACTCTATTTGATTTGGAATTAGCTTAAATTAGCACTTAAATTTTTAATGAAGATTGTGCTTGATGAGAAAAATACGATTAAGATATAACAATWTTTACAACCTATGGTCCCACTTTTTGTTCCCTGGAGCATGCGCATAGAGCAGTAGCGCAGAACTCTTGATGCATGTATAGCCATAACAAGAAAAGAAAGTCTCTTGTATCATTATTGATAAATATTCAAGTTAGTATCTGTCATGTGTTACAGTGCAACGCACAATGTATGACCACATTAAATTTATTTGCATACTTCCATGCACAAGTGCTTTGCTACCAAACGAACTTTCACACTCTGTGGTAAAACCAGCCAGCTTGGCTTTGAAACGTGTCAGTTTAATATACAAAAGCCTGTGCACAGATGTATGCCAATACATTATCACTGGTCATACTTTGCGCACCATAATAGGCACCTACATAGACACTTTGCATTGTTTTTCTAGAGGAATTGTTCTGGGGGACAAAAGAATAGGCCCTCTTTTCTTATGCAAAGAAGCCATTGTTTTATCCCCCAAGGCCTGGTTGTACGAAGCCTGGATAGCACTATCCGGTGGATAAATCCTTATCCAAGTGGATGCTGCTTTCCAATAAATTTATCCAGTGGATAAGATTTATCAGTGAGATAGCGCTATCCAGGCTTCGTAAACCAGGCCCAGAACGATTCCTCTCTGGACTTGAGGTCATCGATTTTCTTTAAGTCCTTATTGTTCATAGCCTGCGTGCAGACGGACTTAGACTCTCTGGCTAGTTGATGATCTTCTCAACCCCTGCACTGATTACTACAACTGATGAATCTAGTGTATGCAATGAAGATACTGCAATCAATTCTTTAAAATAACAGTTATTTGAGTTCTGTCTGCGTAACTCTTTTGATGACAGAGTTAATGTCTGTTTTTCTGTTGATTTTGATGTACGGACACTTGCGCACTATCAGCACAGAGATCCACTCTGGTGCTATTTCTGATAACAACTTCAAGTGCTCCTCAACTTGTCCTGCAAAAAATATTAATAAATTTATATGTGATGTGGCAACTGGGAGCAATGACAGGTAAGYACTCTATTATTTATCACAGTCAAAACATTTCTTCTTCATGTATTTTGATATTTTTAATATCCAAGCTTTTGGGRTCCTTCATCAGGGATGGAATAAAATTTAAAATCTTAGAGAAAACTACCCAATAGACCCTTTTCGAGTTCCAAATTACTGCTGTGTTCTTGATTACAGACTCATTTACACAGGGTTAGCCTCGATTTTGTGAAGAATATTCACTTGTTCCAGTCAAGGTCCGTCAAGTTTCAAAGTGTTTGTATTGTTGAAGTTGTGCATTCTTTACTTTACCGTTGGTAATTGTGAATATTTAAACACTGATTCAAGGCTAACCCTGAGTAAATGACTCTGTAATCAAGGAAGACCATCAAGGAAGACCATCAAGGAACAACCTTCATGTCGAATTCGTTATAAAACAACAGCCTTTTTGTTTGCCGCTTTTCTGTACAATCCAAATATGGAATTAATCATACCATATATGGAGTGAGCTTTCTCTGCTCTTACTTCGACACTAACGTGTAGAGTAAGGCTTGATATGTGATAATCGCTCACTTCTCAAGACGGTTAGTTTAGACGGATTTCCATTTCCTGTGCACCCACCCTGCAAGACCCCTGGTTACAGCCCTGAAAATCACTCAATGACATGTAGCTACCACTTCTCTAGAAGAGGCAGCCACAAAAATATTTCCAGTAAGAAACTTTTAAGCTCAGGATTGATGTAAGTTATCACACCACACCTCTAAATATAAAAGGTATCAATGATCTACTAACCTGGAGATAATGAGGATTTATAGCTTTCAGAGAGTTTAACTGTAGCATCTTCTAGTGGAATAGCTGCTTTTTTCTCTGTTGTAAAATAACTGATGACAAATTAAGGAATGTAACTACATTTTGTAAGACTTAAAAGTAAAAAGCTTTGGCATTATAGCCCTTCATAAATTTCTTTCTGTGTAGGGATTAAAGAATGGTTCATACTGTACTTTTACTACAATTTTAAATGTTCTACAAACTCCAGTATTTCAATGACTCGTTGTGAAATTGGAATATGAAAGGTACCAACTGGTTTTTATGATTGACGGCAGCAAAAAATCTAATTTAAAAAGTGTGTGGCATGCAACTACAGCTCACACTATCCACCCTTAATATCACCACGCCCAGGGTACTAATTAGAAAAGGATACGTTTTTAGTATTCGACATAGTTCTGGCAGTCTTTCTTGCATTGCCATGTTTTTGTCCAGTACTGGATCTCTCATGAGCTTCTCTTCAAGCTTTCTTGCTTCCTTTTGACGAATCTGGAAGTTAAATTTTATAAAAATGTTAACCATTACAATATATTTGTTGTCTAATACATCAGGTAAAAAGCACAGACTGACTTAAGTTAGGACCAGAGAAGTGTAAATTGAGAACAGGCAGACTATAAAAAGCACCTTAATGACTCAGTGTAATGAAAATATAAAACCTAAGATTTTTTCTTAAAGTGTATAACAAGGAAAAAATCTTATCTTCAAAATCACTTATATGTGAACAAAGATAAGAATATGTTGACCACATAGCACGTTATGAAATAMAAGATATAGAAATATAGATAAGTTATAGTGCTTGGGTCCACATATTCTCATCTTTGCATCATATTTACCGCGACCTAACATCTATTTCACCCCGGCCTGCTCTCAGTCTGACCTCTAGCTCAGCTGGTAGAGCATCGGTAGTACGATTCCGAAGGTCGTGGGTTCGATTCCCAGCGAGGTTGGAGATCAATTTTTTCAAATTTATTTCCAAGAGTCTTTTGCCCAGAATAAACTCGTTCCCAAGCACTATAACTTATCTATATTTCTATATCTTATATGTGAACAGTGTAGTAGTGTTGCAGTATTTTTGTATGTGGTTTTTTCTTTTCAGAGATATAAACATTTGAAATATCAATATGCAAATGAGATGACGTAAATTCAAATTCAATTTCATCTCTGAAAAGAGAAGACCACATACAAAAACACTGCAACCATGCTACTACACTGTTCACATATAAGTGATTTTGAAAATAAAAYTTTTTCCTTGATATACACTTGAAGTTCTTATAAAAATGTCAATCAAAATGCATTCTTCGTTCAATGGTGGACAAAAGTGCAGAGTTACTGCAATTATCAATAATCTGCAAACTCCAACATTCCAATGGCTTGTTGCGAAATGGKTTTTTTTACTGCCGCCAGTCAAGAACAGAAAAGGTATCGACTGATTATTCTTGATTGACGGCAGTGAGAACCTGATTTCTCAACAAGCGGTTGGGATGTCTGAGTGCATGGAGCATTTAGAATCGCAGTAAATTAAGGCCAGAACAGTCAGACCAGCTTTATAATCCATGAAAAAGGGGCTTAAAGAACGTAATGAAAATAGTTAACTGAAGATTTTATCTTGTGTTGTGCTATCACTTCTGGACTGTTCATATATTATTCAACTAAACAGCAAGCTGAGCTCAKGCTGTTATTGTTTCACCATTGTTTCACCTTCGTACCGAAGGCATGGAATGCAGCAAGGGAGGAATTTAATAGCAGATATCGGAGTTACGCTCTATTGCCTTCAGACAACTGTTAAGTTTGGGTCAGTTTCTATACATTTCATTGTATTGACCCAAATGCCTTGACTTAAAACAATTGTTTGAAGGCAACAGAGTGTAACTCCGATATCTGCTATTTTTGAATGCTTACAAACCTTGTTTAATAAATCCTGTGAGACACCTCTTAGTGCTTTGTTGACCTTCACGTTACTGGTTTTTGTGTTGCTCTCTTCACCTTTAGGCTGACTGTCATACGTGATTTCGATTCTGGATTTTTCTTTTGATTTCATCGCTGCATTCTGGAGAGCCTTCTCTACCTACAACACCATCAAAAAATAAGAGTACAGGTACATTATTTTAAAATTCAGTTGTGTTTCTTCAAGCATATTTTTCCACTAAAGTTTTCCAATCCCTCGAGATATAAATGTGTGGTTCCAGAAAATATCCATACCCCACCATGGAAGAAATTGTAAATTCCCAGGGGGTGGGGGTCTGAGGAAAAACTGAATTACAAGATTTAAATGGAAGAAAATTGGAAATTCCCAAGGGGTGGGGGGACCTTTTTCAAAATTTCTCCATGGTGGGGTATGGAACCACACAATGAAAGAGCCACCATTTCGGTTGATCTAACAAGAGAAGYTAATGAGGAATGCTTTGTTATCATCAACCAAGATGGCGGCTATGACATAACATGCACGTGCTCTATAGAGTGTGTGCAACCATGTGACTCAAAATCCCTTGAGACATGAATAACAATGAAACAGCCGCCATGTGGGTTGATCTTACAAGAGAAGCTACTGAGGAATGCTTTGTTATTGTCAACCAAGATGGCGGCCATGACGTAACATRCACACCTAGAATACAACAGACAAATCTCTAACCTTTGGAGCAAGAAATCCTCGTCCCTTATCCAGAACATCTTGTGCAGAAGTGATTGTCTTAATGACAGGGGCTTCAGGAAGTGGCATCTTTTCAATATCAGGAACATCGTCGAGCCGAAACTGTGGATGCCATCGAATGATCTTCTCATCGTCAATGGTCAGTGGTGTTTCAAGGCCTCTTAGAAAAGTCTAAAACGAAAGCATGACTTTAATGATAGCAATTAACTTAGAGATGAAAGTAACCAGAAGTACTAATGTTATTTCTTATTGCTTCTGAGCTCAACATTAAAGCTTAGAATAACCATAGGGATCATTTAGCTATTTATCAGCTACTTGACAATTCCCAGAGGAATTAGAAAACCTATTAGGTTTTACAACCTGTGGTAAGGCAGCCAATAGATCAAATTAGAATTTAGAAGTTGATTTTTGTGGAGGGAGGAAAACTGGAGAACCTGGAGAAAAATCCTTGAAGCACAGGAGAGAACTAACAGAGAACTCTACTCAAATACACCTAAATCCAAAATGGCACACAGCCAGTTGAAAACCAGGCATCCAGGGCCAAATTTACAAATTTACAGTATTTTCTTATAATTTGATGCTGCAAAATTGTCACATTCCTGAATGTAAGAAGAAAAGGAAGACAGAACAAGTGAACAAGTGTATGCTTTGCATTGACACCACATTATTTCTTTGCATTTGGCCCTGGATGCCTCGTTTTGATGTAACACACTCGGCCGTGCGCCATTTTGGACTTAAAGGTATGACACCAAATCCATCAGAAAATCGAACCAGGATCGCAGAGGCATAACATTAGCAGTGCAGACCACCCCTGATTCATCAGAGCCTCTGGAGCCATGATAATCATTGGAAATTTTTTTTTCTCTAAACCAGGGTTCGTGCTGAGGTAAGCACTTAAAATTCAAGGACTATTCAAGGAGTATACAAGAATCCAAAWATAAATTTTCAAGGAGTATGTTCAGCTAACTATGCCAAGGTTTTACACGGTGGTTGCACATGGCCGACTTTCAGATTTTCCRATCTTTCTGACTAGATCTATTTCAGAACCATGCAAGTAATGATCAAAGCAAAAATTCAAGGAGTTTAAGGAGTAGCACGAACCCTGTAAACTAATTAACTAACCATCACTTAGCAAAAATTGTTCCATTGTATTTTTAATACTACACTTTACCTGATGGTGTCTCTTGGTGACTGTAAGAAGTTTATCCTGGAAATTCTTTTTCCTGGACAACAGTTCTGCTGGTGGGACTGTCAGCCTGTTTTCGGTAGAGTTCTTGCCCGGCCCAAATTGGATTACTAGGTTATAAGACGCTGACTTGGAACTACTGCGCRCTTGCTGAGTATCATAACATGATGGATAGAGGGAAAGCATCTGTGCCAAGTGGGTCTTCTCAAATCTCCTTTGAAAGTAAAACAAAAAACAGGTGAGTGATTTTCTTTCATACACATTTAAAAACAAAATGAGGGGGGAACAATTAGTATATGTAATAGGACTCCATGCTGTCCAATTAAGAAATAATTGGACGAGGAAAATTCYGAGGACTGACAAAATTGGATGAGGCCGTAGGCCGAGTCCAATTTGGCAGTCAGAGGGACTTTTCGAGTCTAATTATTTCTTGATTGGGGAGCATGAAATCCCATTACCTATTAATTATATAGCTGCCTAATTAATCCCATATCAACAAGACCTGTCCAATTAAGAAAATAATTGGACAGTTACCTATATGGGATATCAATATGAATCATAACATTTAAAATATAGGATAACATTTAGTCAACTTGAAAAAAATCTGGGAGGATATTATTTAAAGCTGAAGCTACACAGATTAGAGAAAAGAGATAACTAGCTAAAAACTAGTGTGAGCTGTGTCGGTGTTTTTAATGAAACAYTAATGATAAAAGGGTAAATTTTCAAATTTACCCTCTTATCATTACTGTTGGATTAGAGAGAAGTAGAAACAGACGTGAAAATTCTGAGTATTGAACTGTTGACCTCTAGCTCTAAAGGTCTGCACTAACCAGCTGAGCTACGCCTGCTCCTTGGGTCATTAAGGTGTTATCTACTGTACTAGTACAGTGTAGCCTCTGTGGCCTAAGAATGGTTATTTTCTGGCTTCACTTACTTTCTACACATTTGTTGAACTGATTCTTTGAGTTTTTCAAAGGTACAAGCTTCCTTTCTTTGGCCCAGAAGGTTGAGGATAGTGTCACAGCTGGTGAACATCTCGCCAAGAACTTTGTATTTATAAGGAAGAGGGAGGGTAACGGATGCTGTTGATGGCGGTGGGGTTGGTTGTGCCAAGGAATGGAATCTCTCGTGAGCTGGAGGTTTCTTGGATGAGCTGCAGAATAAAAAAATAATAATAATCAACTTTTTTTATAGAAGATAACTCTTGACAGTAATTCAACTGGGTACAGCTATAGAATACCCTGCAAGGAAAAGTATTATAGTGGGATGCCTACGAAGTGAGGAAGTAAGGCATTGTATTTAATGACTTTGATTTATATATTTTATGCTTTGGGGTTAGGTTTAGGGTTAGGGTTCGTAGGTGACTAGGCTTCATAGGCACGTAGGCTTCGTAGGCAGAGAGACACTATGAAAAATACACTGAGAATTCATATGAAGAATTAATCACCAAGTAGGTCGTGGTCCTCTATTAACGTCTCTAGTTAATTAGGGACTGGACTGCTATTAACGTGCTTATCCAAGGTCAGTGAAGGTCTAACCATTTGCAGATGTAATATTGCCAAATGATATGCACTCATTAATCTTCTATTGTTCTTGCGTCGTTTTCAGAAGACTTCATTTATACTAAAATAAAGTCTTAGGCCAAGTATTCTGTACTTGCTCCCCCCTACAATTTTGCTGCCCCCCCCCCCCCCCAAATGCTAATAAATGAAAGCCCCCTTACATCACAACACAAAATAAACACTACGCCTTATACTCTTACCTTGCAGACTCATCTGACGCCATCTCTGTAGCCTGCCTCTTTGCCAGCTTGTGCAGCCTCTCAGACGTATCATCAGTGCTGCTCTCTTTAGGTTTAGAAGAATCAGCTTCTAAAGTCCTCATTTTCTTAATGAGTTCTCTAGCTTTCTCCAGCCCTTCTTGAGCTTTATCCTTTGCCAACCTACTCTTCTCAGCGACAGGTTTCTTCTCTTTACTTCTTGGGCGAGTTTGTTGGGTGTYTGCATTCTTTTGCTGGCTGAGAAGTAAAGCAGCCTGTCCTCTGCTAAGAAGAACTCTGTTAGCTTGTTCTGCGATCCAAGGATTAATCTTTAACCCACCAGACTTAGAAGAAACTGCCTTGATTGGAGATTTCTCAGGAACCATAACTGACTGCTTGGATTTGGTTTGATTCTTGTTCGAGGCGGATTTATCCTTGACCTTAGTATCCTCTGTGATTTCATTTTCAACATTCTTTTCAACAGACGCAGACTCTTTTAGCTTTTCCACCTCATTTGTAACTTCGATTTCTTTCTTTTGGCTTCTTTTACTTCTACGCGTTCTAGAAGCAGTCTTTACTTTCGTATTTTCGATAATATCTGCGTCCGATCCTTGCGTTTCGAGTTTATTTACAACTTGTTTTGGTTGTAGCTTTCTTCTTCGCGTTGAAGCTCTTTCCAAAGATGGCGTCTCCTTCGAAGACGCACGTTCAACCTCGTGGTCATCTTCAGTCGATGTCACTTCACATACTACCTTCTCAGCCTCCTCAGTAACTGCTTTAATTCCTAGACTTAAAAACGCCTGCAGCTTGGAATTCTCGGTAGTTTTAGCCACATTCTTTGTCCTCGCTTTTCTTGTCCTAACAGCGCGAATCGGTTTGGGAGCGTTTGTCTTCGCTCTTTGCCGGGTGATTCGGGCGCTTTCCCTTGTACTTTGCACTTCAGAAATCACTACTGCTTCTGTGTCGATAACTTTTCTTCTCTTTGCAGGGTTGATACCTTCAATCGGACGCTTTTTAGTGCTGTAATATTCTGTTAAAGTTGGCTGATCCATTGTTGTTCTGCAGGAAGCCGGCTCATCTGATCGACATAAACAATTTTTTGGCGCGAAAAATATCACGTGGTTACTAAGACGACGGACATTGTGATCAGCGGTGCCTTTTACCCGAAGTYTTCCGAAAGTATTCTCGTTGGTTGATCGGAAGTCGACTAAAAAATATATAAATTGAAGAAAAATATATCCTATAACATTAGAAAATAAAAAAAGGGTGAACGATAGCTAATCAAAGGTAATATTGTAGTTTTTGGTATTTACATATCATCCATTCTTTTTTAAGAAATTGTGAAGCTATTTACATAACTCGGAAAATATTCGAGTAACCTTCGGACGAAAATCGGATGACGGAAGAAACTGTGTAAAATGTGAAAAAATATTTTGGTTGTGAGAAAAACAGCGCAAATTTTCATACTTCTTGAGCCTCTTCTACCCCAGAATTACTCGAAAACGGAGTAATATATGAATGGTTATTAGAAATATTACAGCTGGTGTTAATTCAAAGGAATAGTTGTATTTTTTTGGAGGATTTTGTGACGAAGCAATTTTGGCTTGATGTCATTCAGTGTAAACTAAGTCCTTCCAGTTCAACGATAAGCTGAAGGGTTTATTTTCCTGCGTTTTGGATAAAGTTGAAGCAAAATGGGGCAAACAGAATGGGCTATGTGGGCCAACGAACAAGGAGTTATAACCGCCTTTGGTAAGTATTGTAGAAATTAAAGCTGAAACTTTTAATAACTTTTYGTTCATACTGATTTTGTTGGTCAAAATAAAGAACTTTACTTGCCCAATGTAAGCTTGTCAGTAATAATTAGAATTTATAGTGGATATTTAATGTATTTGTAAGTTAATTTAATTAGAATAATGCAATAGTCCCTTTCACAGTTCCCTGCGCCATCTTGAAACGTAGTCAAGCCTTTGCATCGAAGCAAGACGAACGGTGAGCTTGCAATGATAGAGACCTTTTTTAACGCCTTGGACAATTATTCACATGTCTCTATCATTGCAAGCACACTGTTTGTCCCACTACGATGCGAAGGCATGGGGGACTATTAAACAGGGGTTCAAAGGGGGGGGGGGTGCATTTCTAAGCAACAACGGAGAGGGTGTCAGAAGCGAATCCAACTCCACTCCCCCCACCCCCAGATAAAAAATGAACACTCCCTTAATAGACAAAATGTTTGTCTAGCAACAGTTAAATTATCACTATAATTAAGAGCATTTTCTTAGAAACCTTACCCTCGTCAACTTTATCCCAGCACTAATACTAGCCATTCCAAGGTCGAGGGACAAACTGGGTTAAGTTGACATTGCAGTGCATTGTGGGACTGTCTTAGGGGACGAAATAGGCACCATCTTGAAAATATGTCTCCTAAAATAACCCAACATGCACTGCAACACCAACTCCACAGAGTCTTTTCTTCAGTCCCTTTTCGTCAACCTTTGAACAGCTAATAGATCTATGTATGCGGAGGAGTAGCTAGTCTATGACTGTTAATAATAAGTAATAAACTTTATTTCTATAGCGCACTTATCCTATGCTCAAGACTGTTAGTAAATAACACTATAGTTGGGTTTCAATCAGCTGTTAATTAATCTTTAAATCTTATTAATTGCTCTAAATGGTGGGGCAACATGCACAACCATATGTTCTGTCAGCCAGGAAGAATTGTATTGAAAATTTTGTTATTAGCTGATGAACAGTTCTCACTGTAATTTCAAGCCAATCTGTGAATTAGCCATGATAATAATACATGTACACTTTACTTTAAAAGGGCTAAAAACACTTCAATTACAGCTTAAGGTGATAAACTCGTGGCCCTCATACTCTGACTTTGATCATCCAAGACACTGTTTCAGGATATCGATAACATTTGYAATATATACAGTATGAGTGGCCGTGTTGTGTCAGATATGCAACCACGAGCCGAAGGCAAGTGATCGTAGTATATCTGATACAACATGGACACAAATATTGTATATTACGAAATGTCTAGGTGTATACATTCATGGTCTACTATAATTTGAAAGATAAAATTGAATTTGGCTAAGAAAATTGGAGTTAAAGTTAATGCAAATCAGGATGATTTTGTATCAGATATACAACCTCCTCCACGGACAATGATTTCTATTGTGTTTTCCTCATTAATTATTCATGAGTTTTATAATAAGGTTGAAATGAGAAAGAGATATTCAGCAGTGTAAGAAGCCTCTTGAATTTTATTTAAAGCTCATCTTGTTTTGTATTTTATTTTCAGTTTTAGTACTGGGTGGTATTCTTGGTGTGGCTGGAGATTTCAGGCTGATGGAAATTGGTGCATATTCCATGTATCCTTATAATAATAATGAAATTTTTCCTCRAAATACAATCGTAAATCTCGCTATACTTATAGGTAATTTACAGTTGGCTACTTGAATCTACTTGAATCGAATACAAAATGTGACAAATGACATAATAATGATGATAATAATAATAATAATAATAATAATAAGTATATGTAATAGGACTCCATGCTGTCCAGTTAAGGAATAATTGGACGAGGAAAATTCTGAGGACTTTCAAAATTGGACAAGTACGTAGGCCGAGTCCAATTTGGCAGTCAGAGGAATTTTTCAAGTCTAATTATTTCTTGATTGGGGAGCATGAAATCCCATTACCTATTAATTATATAGCTGCCTAATTAATCCCATATCAGCAAGACGTGTCCAATTAAGAAAATAATTGGACAGTTACCTATATGGGATTAATGAGAAGCTGTATAATTATAATAATAATGATAACAGGCACAACACGCTCGACACCATTTAGCAGTTACGTACTTCAGATTTCGAAGATGGAGAAACGAGTGCTGCAGAACATCRCGTAAGAACCAAGTGGAGAAAAAATTTGCCAGTCAGAATGTGGAGATTGTTAAGACATTTACATTTGTGGTAAAAAGGTGTCTATTTGTTTAACTTTTATATAAAAAGATGTACTATGATATATTCCTAAAGTACRAGATACTATAGTCTATTCGTTGACTTGACTTTTGTGTGTCTTTTTTCTTGTTTTTCTTTTGTGTGTATTACCTTTTCACATTTTTCTAGAACTCAACCTGTGTAATTTGTTATCTTGTATCTCAATTTTTATGGGACATCAACATGCAATTGGGGCTTAGCCCTGTGACTCTACCCCTGCCATTGCAGCAAACTAATTAAAATAAAATAAAATAAATAAAACGAAACAAAATGAAACAAAACAAAACAAAACACAACACAACACAACAAAAAACAAAACAAAACACAACACCAACAATATGAAGCAAAACAAAACAAAATAAAATAAAATCAACTGAGTAGGTAACTGGTTCAGCTGTATTTGATTTCCTTGACTGATGTTGTGGTAGTGCTCTTGGGATTCTTGTTCTCGTGGTTGAGTATCCGAGAGGTAAAAGGAAAAAAGGCARGAAAACTGTTGAACGAACGTAAGTGTTATATTACATAGCCATGCGAAAATAATAATAATTAGTGGAAAATGTTTTCTCACAYCACTGGAGCCTGGGCTGAGGGATATTAGTCACGTGGTCAGTGTTTTCATCAGTTGCTTTTTCGCTGTCCGCCATGACTGTTAGTTAGCCCCACAGTACCCCCCCCCAACCCTAGGCCAGCATTGCTGGAAGGACTTTAGAGTAGTTTTTCATGGAAACCACGTTGCGATGATAAGAATGATGTATTACAGTAATGCATATGTTGGGTTATTCAGAAATAAAGAAGTCAGTTGGTGGCGGTCAGCTGGACAATAGCTCCCAGTGGCGTGTGAGAACAAGTTTTAGCATGAAAAATTAAGGAATAAAATAACATTCAAATATTTTCAGTAATTCATTCAATTTCATTCAATTTCAATTTTCATTTAATTTCRACATTAATATAATTACATATGCAAATCAAGATTATAAAAACTTTACATAAAAATATATATCAAGAGTAAGACTTCTTAAAAAGGAAGGTTTTAAGCTCACACTTAAAACTCAAAATATCTCTGCATGACCTCTTATCTGCAGGAAGGGAATTCCATAGTTCTGGCACAGCATTTGAGAATGCTCTTTTACCGATTAAGGTGACTGCCTACTTTTGGAAATTGATTTAAGCTTTTCTTAAAACTTCGATTTTCTGAATTGAAATTTAATGCTGATTCCAAATCTGGAAAGAAAAATAGGGTGTGCCGAGCTCGTTTTCGAGATAATCAGCATTTAATGGAAGCCTACGCACGAGCTTTTGGAGTAAAAATTGCGCCACCGGAAGTGATTAGAAAAAAAATTAAGATTCATAAGATAACAGTTATTTGCAGACTATATGATTGCACGAACAAAGGCTAGTCAATCCTTTTACAATAATACATGGATATTTTCGACAAAAAGACAGAGAGATACATTGATTTGTCATATTTTGTAGTTTCGGTGCTCTTAAAAAATCTCATAAAGTCGAACAAAAATCCCTACAAAAATCTATTTTTTCACRTGTTCCTGATTTAAACTTTTCCTAAAATGTTGATATAACCTTGATTTTTAGGAGTTTTTTCGAATGAGCTATCAAAAAATATAGAGTCCCGTGCAAAATTTGAGGGTTTTGCCCTGTTTAAGCTCAAAACGCATATGGTTCTTCAATAAAATCTTGTAGATTTTTCAGCGGTTTTTGAGTGCGCGCACATCGTGGGCTCAAATCGAACATTCAMAAGTAGGCAGCCACCTTAAAGGGGCACTTGGATGAAAATCAATGAAAATTAGAAATCAYTTTAAACTTGGTTAAACCCATGTATATGGCCCAGATAGTAGCCAAGCAACATATTTCTTGACAGTCAAAAGTGACGGATAAAAATTATCAGTTTTATTCAGCATCTAAATTGTGAGTAAATGACGTCATTTACTCAACCCTATTGTTCTATTYRCTTTTAACCCAAAATTTCTAAACAGCAAGTGGCTCCCAGGCTAAAATTTTCACTAATCTGGTTTTCATAATYGTAATTGRGTCATATTAYMCTCAAATACTTTCAAAAATTGGGGCGTTTTCATCCAAGTGCCCCTTYAAATACCATCTCTTAAATACAAATTTTATCTTGGACAGTTGAAATGATATCTTCTGAGTGAACACAGCGTGAATGCTTAATTTCTAATCTCATGGAAATATTTGCGAAATTTGGATTTAAAAATTTTCTTAAACCCTTCTCCCCATTTTCAATGTTGTTTCATCAGCAGTGTTTAATGTGTTTTGTGTTTTTGTTCAGATATCAGAAGGGATTTACTCATCTTATCATAGCTTTAGGGGTGATTGGAAGGAATTACTATGTGCGCTTTGTTTTCTACCTTCTGTAAGTACTGTACAATGTCATTTCTTTCATTTCATATTTGTGCTTTTATTTTTTCCATTTGAATTCAATGGRGCAAAATTACTCTTCAGAAACTAGCATTTAGTATCACTGTCTGTTCATTTGCTGAACTGCTTGGCATGGTTTTGTTGCACCAACTACTTCCTACACATATAAAATAAATATCTAATGCATTTGCAACTCCTGGGTGGATGGAGTAAGATGCATAACAGGTTTTTGCAACCCAATCAATAAGAAAACCAATAGATTGAATTAGAATTTAGAAATGGATTTTTTTTTGGAGGGAGGAAAACCAGAGAACCTTGAGGAAAAACTCTCAAAACACAGGAGAGAACCAATAAACAACTCTACGCACACATGGTGCCGAGCCTGACAGGCCCTTTGTCCCCTAAATATATWCCTACTAACCACATGAATCCGTAACCTTAAACAGTAACAAAACTAAATGACTTTTTAACTTTTTTTAACAAATATATGCAAACATTGATTTAAAGCATAACAATGAGCTAAGACAATTTTTTTAAATATTTAAACAAGAATTTATGTGAGCCAAGATAGGGTACTAGAACACTGACATTTAATATTAGATTTTCTATGTTGGTTGAGTAGCTTGAAGCTGGCAGAGTTTAAACTATGATTATTTTAAAATATTTTTATTTTTATCAATTTTTTTAAATTTCAGTACAGTAATTTGAAAGCATTCCCACTCATGGTCCCATCCATCCATCCATTCATCTACTTACATGTAATTCTATATTTTTATCTATTTACTCATATTGCAGTATGATATTATGAAAGCATTCCCACTTTTGATCCCATCCACCCACCCATCCATCCATCTACTTACATGTAATTCTATATTTTTATCTATTTACTCATATTGCA